GCTGTTGCTGCTGCTACTGCTGCTGCTGCTTCTTGGCATAGGCAAGCCCCAAGTAGCATGCAACATTTGGCGCTGCTGTTGCGTACGTGTCTGTCAAAAGTGCTAAAAATAAACACATACGTATACAAATGCAGCAGCAGTAGCTGCAGTAACTGCAGCAGTAGCAACAGCAGCAGCAGCATCAACTGTCATTGGCGCCCTCAAATGCAGAGCTGCAGCATCTTTTGCAAGAGTTGAAAGTTGAACGCCTTGGCAAATGCCGCGGCAATGCACCCGACTGCTACTGCTACTGCTGCCACACCCACTGCCACCAGCGCTGGTAAGATAAAGTTTTGCTCACGCAACAGTCGATCTGTTGGCAAAATCTGCCAGCGCCACATTTTGTTGGTATTGTTTTTCGTTGCAAATTTATTACAACATTTGCCACGCGCGCTGCTTTTATCTTTATCTGGGCGGGTTTTTATTTATCTGCCACGTTAAATTTACTTTTGCGTCGGAAAATGCTGTTCACATTTTCTTTGCTGCTGCTGCTACTGCTGCTTTTCATAATTTTTCGCCTCGAGGCCAAATTGTCGTCTTTATTTGCAGCATGGAAATGCTCGCAGTTTTTCTTTTTCGCTCGTTGAAACCATTTCGCATTTCCATTTCAATGCACATCAGCAGCAGTAGCAGCAGCAGCAGCAGCAGTCGCAGTAACAGCTAAACGTGGAAAACGTTTTCGAGATTTCCAAATGCTCGCCCTCGCCATGACATTTGCGATTTTCCGCACATTTTGTATTTTATTGAACTGTTTGTCACAGGGCGCAAGTGCTTTAAGCCAGAGCGAGTAATGCCCCGGCTTCGGGGCCCCGACCCCTCTCACTCGATTGGGAGTTCGAGCCACGCACTCCGCATATGATCATAAGCATGTCAACTTTATGAAAATCAAATGGACATAAAAATGGACAGCGCTCATAAACAATAATATGTCGAGTGAGCTTTCAACTGACATAACTAAAAACCAAATAGAAAACTTCATAATGTGTGGGTGGGCGTGGCAGCTGCTTAGCCAACAAGCTAACGTGGCTAACTATGAGAATGCGGAGAGACTTAATAAAAAAAAAAATAGAAGAAGAAAAAAAAAACAAACAAAAATGTATGAAATACTTTTACGAGTTTCAAAGACATTTTTACAGCTCTCGCTGGCAACTTTTGCTAACGATATGCGATATGCACGCCGAGCCGGATGCGGAGCAGCTGGAGCTGCATTCCTGAGCAACGGGTCCAGTTGTGTGTCCAAGCTCGAATGCATGTCGCATCATAAAACCGAAAGTCATTTCGCACAGAACGTGTCTGCCGCCAAGAAGCCAAAGTCATTGCAGCCAATAATAATTCCAATTGTAGTACAGTGACAATTCCTTTGCTTCTTTTTTTTTCGATGTACCCTGTAACCATTGAAAATGGATAGACTAAAGGGTATCATGGCATTTTGAAAATATTTGTAACTGGCAAAAAGAAGCATCTCGCATCCCATATACACATATTCTTAACCCGGAGGAGCGAAACAAGCCAAGTCTAAAACTACAAAAGCTAGAGACTTGAATGTGGAAATTTATTCTCTTATATATTACACAGAATGAGTCCTTTTTTTTCGACATCTCTTCCCATTTTCATATAATTGACAAAAATACCACAACTCAAAAGAATATGAGAGCCAGATACACTAAATTTGATAACTAGCACAGCTCAAGAATATTGCTCATTTTGAAGATGAGAATCGCATTTCTTTGGAGATAAATTCTTGGATTATGGTACATATTTGTGTGCCATATATATGGCCTGAAAATTTCATAAAGATCGATCAATACGTACCCAAGTACAGTACAAGTACAGTATATATTCCCATAGTAAGGGAGGCAGAGGCTCAACCGGCGCGCAAAGTGTGTGCCTTTAGATTCTTGTGACGGCAACTCGCCGCTGCTTACAGGCTATCTGCTAGTCGGACACTTTGGACTAGAGCATTATAACTTTTTGTTTGCCTTTTTCTTCAACCAGGATGCGCCCGCTTTCTTGGGTACAATGCACCAACAATGGTCAGCAGCAGATCTTTTATTGCCCAGCGTTGGCATTTTAAGTGCAGCGGCAGCGGCAGCAACATACCAAAAACATTATTTGGTCAATGTAGACGACATGACGCGGCCATTAAACGCAACAAATAAGCAAACAATGGCTGAAACTTGCCGATGGGGCAAGAGCAGGAATTTATCCTTCCTTGAAGACAAAAATTAGTAAAGTGCTTAAACGACAACAGAGACCCAAAATGTTTGGTGTCTAAAGTTGGTCCAGGCGGCGACTGATGACTAAAGCTGACGCTTCTTCAAATAGCCATATCTTTTGTACTCAAGTCTTACTAAAAAGAGAGCCATCACTTTTAGAATACACTGTTGAGGTAAGCAGTTAAGCTGCACTGCTTGCGGCACTGCTTGAGGGGGAAGGTATGAGAGCACAATGATCGATAATAATCGATATAAATTAGACCTTTCTAAAGTAATTAATAAAAATATGTAATTAACGTCCGAACTAAAAATCCACAACTATAGTTGGTGATAGCCATCGATGCAGTTTAATATCTCTCCAAAATACTTTCGATTAATTTGAATATATTTAAAAGTGGAATAGGCATTACTTTCTATAAAGAAGGAAGATATAATACATAAATCTTTCTAAAAATCTTGTTTGCAGCTTAAGCTTATCAAACGATAAAAAATGTTTTATTTATTATCGGAAACAAAACTTGATAAATGAATATCCCAAACTGTCACAGACGCTGGATATATCAAAAAATTATCTCATTGGTAATAAAGCCATATAAGGGTTATTAAACTGAATAAGTTGTTGAAGCAATCAGACAACAAAAGATAAGGATGTATGCTATAAATCTTTTTGAATACTTAATATGAACCTGATAACTGCCAGATAAATGAATTATAATTTGGTTTTTCCTATTATAATTAAACAATCTTTTTTGTTTTGTAGGTCATGTGGATTAATGGGAAACTTATTAGCTGAGCACAAAAGCCTAATCGTTAAAAGTAAGTTATAAATTCAGTTAAATAACTGAACCGTTTGAATATTTTTTGAAAAACTAAGCAAACGCTGATTCAAATGTGCACACTTGTATTATAAATCAAGAAATGGCTGATTAAGTTGTGGAAAAGATAACTTTATATATAAATAATAATAATAAATGACTTTATAATTAGCCAGGCAATCAGCTTGTTGAATATAATATAATTTAAATAAACAGTTATTCCGATTGTATTTGCTTTCTATTTATTTTCAATTAAATGAATGTTAAATCAATTGTATATTTCTTAAAACTGAACGCAATTGTCGTTATACGAAACAAACTGATAAGATTAGCATATATACAGCTTTTAGCGAACTAAGAAAGCACGGCAGACCAACTAATTAGCTTCAATCATATTTGTAAACTAATAAACCAAATTTGACGAGAATGCGTCAAGCAACATAAAAAATAAAATAAAGTTGAGAGCAGCCAAACTTTTGGGCGCTCAAGCAGAAGCCGCCTAGAAAGACAGCCAAGCTGTCCGAAACAATTTATTTATTTAGTTTCGCTAAAGCTAATTAGCAACTAAAGTGAAATTAAAGCAAAGCCTGGCAACGACAATGGACAATGGACTTTATGCCAGGACACGCAGAAGCCGGATGATGGAGTTGGCCAACGGTTTGCTACAACTAATTAAATGCAATAAGCAAGCGACGGCAACTGGTGGACGGAACGAGACGGGACGGGACGTGCAGAACACAGCAGGACACGGCAGGAAAGGGCGTGACAGGAAGTGATGTGAAAAAAAGCAAGCAAAGTGCCAAAGATTGAATACCCTTGCAGGAATATAGAACATGTATATATACTTGTTTTGACGTACTGTGCCTACAGCAGCTATATGATTAAGTGGTCTAACATGGAGAAGATTTAGCTCATATTCTGGATCTTTAACTGTTCGTTTTAATGAGTTTGATTGGGCTAAGCCAAGTTGTGTACTATGTACTGATGCACTTTTCATGCTTCCAGAAACTCAGAAGATTCAGAAAAGGGGCAACCCAAGTTTGCTTAGGATATCAGAAAAAAATAAAGAAAATCTATTTCAGATCGACAATTCTCACGGGAGCTATATGATTTGTAGACCGAAGCTAGTTAATTTTGTCTGGTAAAGCTTGAAATTTTTGATATGTTTTTTTATGCAAAAACAAATAGTTCTTATATCAATGATATTAAATGATATAGTTATCCGACGCTAATAAGATTCTGTGATATCATAGAAACATACTACAACATGGTACTAAAAGATTTTGTTTGAAGATGTAAAAAACAAGAAGGTTTTTTAAATACAAAAACTTAATGCTAGACCAATCATCCCTATGCTAGCTATATAATATGCTAATAGAATGTTCCGGGCAAATAAGGAGCCTAGTCAAACTAGTAAATATAAGTTTGGCTAAAATATCTTAGAAAACAAAAAAGTGGTTCGAAAAATAACTTTAATTTTCTATGGCAACAATATTATATAGTGATTCGATTCGGCGGACTACGATATATGTACATACTGCTCATAATAAAAAGACGGATCTATGGAAAGTTTCCAACTGAAAGGCTATCGGACATGGCTTTATCGACTCGGCTGTTGATGTCGATCAGGCATATTTCATATATTGTCAATATATTGTCAACGTAACATAATTGAAATACCCGCTGCTAGAGTATAAGAAGCCAACGAGTGACAACTTTGTTTTGATGTGCAAGGACATTAACAGGACTCCGCCGTCAGTCGGAGGAAGAGTCAGAGTGCGAGTCCGCCCGTACGTTTACGCTACGCGGCACAAACTAACGACGAGAACGCGTTTTAATTTGTACATTAAAGTAATTAGTTTAACATTAGTTAGCTGCAGTTAGTTTTAATGAACAAGCGACATACAAATTTCCCTAGTCGCGCACTTACCGCTCTTAAAGGTGGCCATCAGACGCTCCGAGTCAGCGCCATGCTGGCAATCGAAGAGCGAAGTCTCGAGAAGATCGCCAGGCAGATAGCCAAGCAGTGCGAGCATTCTGAAAGAGCAAAACAGAAAGGATATTAGCTACCATAGCTTTATATGATCTATGCAATTGGGCTCACTTGTCATCCACATAGGTAAACTTCATGTCCAGGCTGTGCTTGGTCAGAAATGTGCTGGTGCCCAGCGGTATTTCAATGTTCGAGGGATGCGGAATGGGTCGACCAATGGCAATGAGCACACGCTCGTCTTTGCTATTGACGCGCAAATGTCCGGTGATGTGTATAACCTGGATGCGGGATGGAAAATATATTTTAAGCAAAAGGCAAACATAAAGATGTTTAGTTTAAATTCGCACCTTATAGGAGGCGCTCTTGATATTGATGCTGCGCCCGCTTCTGGTTAGGGTGCATTTCATGCGCACGAACAGATCGCGATGATGTGTGCTAACGCCCGATTCGATTAGCTGCTCATCCTTGATCTTGTCGGCAATGCCATTGCGTTTAAGATTAAGCGCCTCCTTGATCTCGGCATGATCGCACTGATGCGTGTACTCCCAGATCTGTTGGCCCAGTGTATCAATCTGAAGTAAACATAAATATTAATAGCTGTATCAAGACAAATATATTATATTTTTTAGGCACCTTTGTTATGCCCAGATAATCTATTATGTTATCCGAGACATAGGTGACGTCGCCCTCATTGGATAGCACCAACAAAAAGCCATCCATTGTCTGTTTCAATAGTTGACTGGCCTCGGCGGACTTAAGCCAATCCTCGCTATCATTTTCCACCTTGGGCTCGACCGGTGTCGCAGTCGCATCCCCGTCGGCCATGTCAATGAGCTCACGTATATTGGGTACTATAAGAAGATATATGTATATAGATGCATATAAAATAAATATAATAATGGGGCATATGCTAATAAAAACCTACCAAACTCAAGCATCTGGCGAATTTTCAGATAGGCAATTGTAATGCGCATCACTGATGCCTTGTCCAGCTGATTGACATCGTCGGGCTTCAGCGGCAATGCCTGAGAAAGTTCCATAAATATTTCGGTCTCCTTAGAGCGACGACAACGCGCCGCATCTCGTGACTTTTCCTTGCGCTTTTCATTATTCCTGCAAATGGAATTCAACTGCATAAGTACACGAATATGCAAAGTGGAAAAGCTAGATCTGTATCGGATCACGTAGACCACTCTTGACGTCGTTACACTGGGTTTGCAAAAATTTACATGGCTACAGCTAGGGAGAGATACTCGGAGGAGGTTCGGGGCTGTTGGGTGGCAGAAATGCGTACATTTCAATTGTTGCGATTTGCTGCGTTTTATTTGATTTGATTCAATTGACGCGGTCAGCGCTTAATTTTTCAATTGAGCAAAACATTCGCTAAAATTCGCTGGCAAGGCGAAGGTGGCAAAGTTCACGGCAGCTGCGCCAAAGCACGCGACCAGCCCAAAACTTTTCCAAAAAAAAAAATTAGTATAAATCGACTTTGAATTGAATTCGAACAGTTCATAAATATTTTTAAAAATTCTATATGAAACGAGAAAGTGGGGATATCTGTGTGACGACGAAGATTTAATACCCTAAAGGACAGTTGCCTTATGGCTGTGCAGATACGTAAGAATTGTGAAGCTCGTTAATACTATGCTTAAACTTAATATCTTGGAAAACTAAATATTTTTGCATACAACAATTTTGTAACCGATTCTTCCCAAAGTGCTCAATAATACAGTAGTAAGATCTTGATAAGATTTGGCTCACATCTAAGCAGCACATTATTTCTCGTAAATACCGGGTTTTGTCAAGACATCTTTATAAGCAAACAAGTTTTTCAAACAATAACCTATTTTCGACCGATCATTCCTATAGCAGCTATATTATATAGATTGGTTCTGGTTCTGACATATGTTCTGTCTGCAACCGAAAGACAGACTATGCACAGTTCCAAGACGAAAAGTTTCGCGCACAAAGCCCTAGTAAATATTCCTTCTAGACTTTAGACCTCCATAAATTTGCCAAAACTAAACAAATTTTCATATTTAACACAAATTGTCGTCTAGATTAATTATACATTTAATGTATATGTTTAAAAAAAAGCAAATTTTCTCAAATTTTAGCTTCTGTTTATTTCCGAAAAAATTAAATAAAATGTTTTGTTTTGGAATATACAAATTATGCTCATAATCACAATTAAATATAGTATTCAAAATATAAACAAATTCAGAGGGTGTCTGTATTATTTATTATCTTGTCAAAAATTACCAAAATTCTGGTTTGTAAACTTATTCCAAAAAACAAAGAACGACCCTCTTACGCTTTCAACTCGCATAACTTTTCCAGAACTAAACCTATTTGTATAAAGTAAACCGATTAAAATGTAATTTTATGAATAAGATTTACTCCCTAGATTTTGCATATTCAACTTTTGCATGTATGAAAATATATTTTTTCGAAATATGTTCGAGGAATAAGCCGCAGGCATAGGTAGAAATTTTGAAATATTATCGGGGGGAATACAAAGTACAAGCATAGGTTTGTGAGTTACGACAGGCAGAAATTTATTTAAGACCCTTTCACTTTTACCCCATACACAACCACACACACACACACATGCTTGCTTCTTGCCGATGCCAGGCAGTGGACTGCACCACTCAAGTGGACAAGTGGACTGTACTTAGTGGCTTAAGATAACCAGAACCTGGCAGACATGACATCAAGTAATTAGATAATAACAAGACAATGCCTTGGCACCATTCGAGTTGCTGACAAACAAAGGGAAAATATAAAAAGAAAATAAGCAATGTTTTTTCGATCATCTTCGAAGCGCATGTTAAAGGCAATTAGCAAGTCGGAAAGTTCAATGGAAAGTGAATGAACCGAGCGGATTCGTCGGTTGAATTAGTCGCCTCGAAACGGAATTTTGCATAAAATGGAATATGTGAACATGTTTATTAGAAAGTGCCTCAAGGAAAACTAAACAAACAAATACGTATGCCCAATTTCTTATCAATTGGCCCACAAAAAAGAAGACAAAGAAATTATAGTTCACATGACAAATTGCAAATGTGTGCGCTGTCATTAAGGCATGATAGTATATATATACATTTAATTTATATGCGTACATTTATTAGACAGTTTAGAGTGCACTGACCTCACGCAAAACACACGTTGCGCTGCCAATTCTGACGAAAATATTTGTACTATATATAAAATACACTCAAATACCAGCTGACTTAGTAACTGCAGCTGCCAAGAAAAACTCGTGAGCTGTCGCAAAACTAATATGCCAAATTAATTGCTAGCGAATGATCATTATAATGTTTATAGTCTCATATAAATAAATGTGCGAAATAAGGTCGCCAAATAAAAAGTATTTTAAGGCTTATATAAATATATTGCGGGAACTGCGGCACGTAGCAAAAATCGCACAAACTTAATATATACACGGAAATGTAACGACAAATTTGTGAAATTCACAAAAAATCCAAAAAAGTTGGTCAAATAAACTCATAAAAAAGAGCGCAAATTAATTATCGAGTCGCGCAGAGCATTAAAACAAATAAGACTATTTGAAAAAAATATAAAATATATTTACAAAGCCAAGACGAAGCAGCAGCAACCTCTTGACAACAAGCGCTAAACGTCACAGCGGCAGAGATCTTACCCACCACCGCCCCCTGCCACGCCCCATCCGACTACAATTCCATTTTCTTTATAAAGCTTTACATGTCAAGCAATGCCGCCATATCAGTAAGACAGACAAACCGACAGACAGATAAACCGAAAAAATATAGCAACAAAGTAGTATTATTATTATTTATCGCATTACTCATACGACGTGTGGCCAGCCAAATTGACAAACTAAACTGTTTGTAATACTCTTCAACAGCATGTAATTCCTGCTTCCATACGGCAATTGGCAACAAATACTTGACTTTGAAAACAATATTCATAAGATATCGGGGCAAACTAATGCCTGATAACATATGCTTTTTACTAATATGCCTTGCTTCTATTGAAAACGGATAGTTGCTAAGTATATGTGGTCTAGTGAGCCCTAGTTTCCCAGCTAAAAAATACTCTGTTCCCAGATTCCCACTTACCAATCCACCGCACACACAAAACCCATAAACAACACAAATATACAACACACACACAACACAAGCTGCCCTATTTAGCTGCGGCTTTACTTTTTACCTCAGCCTCACCACGTGTAATATTTATTCTTTTATAAGATATGAGTTTATTGCTCGATCGTTAAATTTTTCAGTCCAAATATATTTTAATTGATGTATATATTAATAAATAATTTTTGGCTTATGTTATAATATTTAGATTTTCAATTCTGTGGAACGGCCGGGCAGAGTATGCAGTATGTCAAGACCATATCAAAGTTGGCATCTATAGCTATTAAATTAATAGAAATATGAAACATAAATTATGGCTAGTAATTTCGTCATTTGATATATATATATGAATGTTTCATATATTTCCACAATTACTTTTTCTCGAATTATCGATTGCTTGTCGGATATGCCAGTCAAGAACATGCTACATTTTGTATTATTGAGATATATAGAAATCGATTTTAATATTAATCGAATTATATGATCAGCCAAGTCGATATTATTAATTTATGACTTTTAAAGCAAGCTTGATAAGTCTTGCTACAGAACCTTAGTTTTGTAGCAGACTTTATGATATGAATGGAATAGCAATATTCAGCAGAATTTGTTTATATCATGTTGAATGCAAATGTATTTCATCATATTAATATTTAACACACAGAATTGATTTAAAATATATAAGTAAATGCTTCGATACAACAATTCGCCAAGTACATAAAAATAAGTATTTATAAACAGCAGTTCGAATGTATCGTATCGTGCCACCCTATCTCCCTGCCCCGCCCCAGTGGGGGCCTTTGATGGCATGCTAATAGCCTGCTTAAACGGCCTGAAGACGCGAGGGGCGGATGCGGGGAAGTGAATTGTTTTCAATATATTCAGAAGGCGACTGCATTTTGTTTTGTTGTTTTTTTAATTGTTGTTATTGTTGTTATTGTTTGCTGTGGTTGCTTTAAGCGTTTCCGGCTGCGACCGCCTTTGAGCGTCGCTCAATGGCAGCAGAGCGCGGTCGGCACTAGGGCATAGTCTGGGCACGTGCGCTATTATAAGTACAATGTAGAACTATACTAATCACGAGAGCAGGCAGCCGCCTGAGAGTTATTTATTGAACCAGTTCTGGCAACAGCATCTTACAGCTGAAACTATTGATAATAATATACTTATATATATATATATATATATATATGCTTAAAACCTGTTAGCTCTTAACCAATTCTTGAAGAAAAGAAATTTAATTATGGCAAACAAAAATCATGTGTTTTAATTGCAATTAATTAACAATTAAACACTCATGTGTTTTAATTACTTGGCATTAACAATCTATTTATTAGATTTAACTAACCGCTTGGCAATTAAAATTGTTTTGAAATTTGAGTTAGCATTTGGAATGCAAAAGAAACTTTGTATTTTAAATTCTTAATTCTAAGAGATTTATTTTGTTGCTTTAAGTTGATTTCGAGTATAAACAACTGGAGATTTACGTTAATTTGAATGGAAAATCATCCAGAAATTAAAAATATATTTATTGCAATTTGAAGTAACTCAGAAATTGAAGCGCACAAATTTTCAAAGTTAAGATTAATATGCAAAAATTTAAAAAAAAAAAAAAAAATTTAATTTCAAAACTATTCAAATTCAAATATGTAGAAAACAAATTTAAGGCCCTTAAAAAACCCCCAATAAATACTGTAGAATCTAGTTTTCAAAAGAAAAACACAAGCAAATACAAATTTGGTTCAAATTAAAATATTCAGAAATATAAAAAAAAAAACCTCTCAACTTTATTCAAATGCAAATTTAAAGAAAAAATTAGAAAACCCTTTAGAAGAAAATCCTAAAATGCTGTGGACTCTGGTGTTAAAAACTAAAAATCCAACCAATTACAATAATGCTTCCAAAAGAATTCAAGTTAAAATGTTCAGAAAGAAAAAAAAAGAAATATTTAAAAAAAGAAGATGATGCTTCCTATTCAAATCCCAGAACCTA